AGTGGATATTTAGAAAACTCATTGTTCTTCATTCTGTACGGTGGAGATCGATTTTTGAATATTGAATTTTCGGTACTTTCAGTTCGAAGTTACCGTTCACGTTTTTCTTCCTTACACCGACCAGTTTGACTTTCTCCAACGATTGGACGACCATTTGTAGTCTGATGAGGCTAAAATTTGGTGAGCATGTTCGAGATAAGTTGTTCTTTAATTTGAACGGTGGATCAGATTTGAACAATCAGAACACATCCGTTTTGCATGAACAGTAGTTACTTTGGTGATATTTTTTTATTCCCTTATTTATTTCTTATTGTTTGGTTGATTTGTTGTTGAATATTTATTTGAAGATTATAATGGTTGCTTATTGTTGTTATAAATACTAATTTTTATGTGATTTTTATCCTTCATATTGAAGGAGTTTTTCGCGTTAAAAATTTTGGTATCTTTGTGTGATTGTTTTTTAACATCTTGAAGCAAATTTTATCATATTTATTTTGACTGAATTTTTACTTAGTTTTCACTTCTCATATATTCATTCAAGTGCTTCCCTATAAGTGGTATCAGAGTCTGGTTTACTAATTCATTGGTTGATTGTGGATTTTCGTTTTCTTATTTGAATGATGGAGGTGAATGTAAGTAAAATGGTTTGTTTGGATAACACAAATTATTACAAGTAGAAAGGAAAAATGAGGGATCTTCTTGTTGTGAAAAGATTGCATTTATCTGTGTTTGCTTCTCAAAAGCCTGAGTCTAAATCTGATGAAGATTGAGAATTTGAGAATTTACAAGTATGTGGTTTCATTCAACAGTGAGTAGAAGACAATGTGTTGAATCACATTGCTAATGAAACAAATGCCAAAACTTTGTGAAAAAAGCTTGAAACGTTATATGCTTCAAAGATGGGAAATAATAACTTATTCTTGCTTAAATAAGCTATACGCTTACAATATAGAGAAGGTAGTTCTATACTTGATCATGTGAATGAATTTTAAAGTATCTTTGATCAACTGTTTGGCATGGGTGTCAAATTTGATGAAGATGTTATTGGACTTTAATTGTTGAGTACACTTCCTGACTCATGGAAAAACTTTCGTGTATCTTTAACTAATTTTGCTCCTAATGATGTTGTAACCATGCAGTATACAAAGACTGTCGTTTTGAATGAAGAGATGAGAAGAACTCAGGGGACATCTAGTTCACAGTCAAAAATCTTGGTTACTGAAAACAGGGGGAGAAGTAAAATCAAAATCAAGGTACAAGAACCTTGAATGTCATTATTGTGGTAAAACAGAGCATATCAAGAAATATTGTTACAAGTGGATGAAAGAAAATAAAGCAGACAAAGGAAAGCAAGAAAATAAGGGATATGACAACAATACTGATCGTGTTGCCACTTCAGATGATGATTTGGCTATAGTTTATCAAGAGAATATGATCAATGTAGCCTATGATGATACTGTTTAAGTTCTTGACAGTGGTGCATGCTTTCATATTACATCAAAGAAGGAATTCTTCACATCTTATACTTCAGGTGATTTTGGGATTTTGAAGATGGGTAATGATAGAGTGTCGAATGTGATAGGCACTGGGACTATTTGTTTAGAGACTCAAAATGGAACAAAATTAGAGCTCAAGAATGTTAGACATGCTTTAGACATTAGGTTGCATTTGATTTCCACTAATAAGCCTGATGATGATGGTCAGTACAGCACTTTTAATGATGAGCAATGTAAACTCAGTAAGGATTCCTTAGTTGTAGGTAGAGGAAAGAAGGCTTCGAACTTATATTGGTTGCAAGCTTCAATCTCTACAGATCTTGTTAATGCAGTTGAAGGTGACAGCTCCTCAGAATTATGGCACAAGAGACTGAGTCATATTAGTGAGAATGGACTTGATTGTCTAGTTTAAAATAATTTACTTTCAGGATTAAAAGGTGTAAGGTTAGACAAGTGTACTCATTGTTTGGCTGGGAAACAAAAGAGGGCTCATTTCAAATATCATTCTTCGTCCAGGAAAGATGATTTGCTTGAGCTAGTGCATTCAGATGTTTGTGGTCCTTTGAAGGATAAGTCATTTGGTAGTGCACTTTACTTTGTAACCTTTATTGATGATCATTCAATGAGACTTTGGGTTTGTACCTTAAAGTCAAAAGATTAGGTGTTTGGTATATTTAAAGAATTTTAAGTTTCTGCTGAGAGAGAAACTGGAAAGAAGTTGAAATGTATTCGCACTGATAATGGTGGTGAGTATTGTGGGCCTTTTAATGTATATTACAGAGAACAGGGTATCAGACATCAGAAGACACCTCCTAAACTCCTCAGTTGAATGGTCTGGTAGAAAGGATGAATAGAACATTGATGGAGAGAGTCAGATGCATGCTTTCAGAGGTTAAATTGTCTAGCTCTCCTGAAGCTTTGTATACTGTCATAAATGTGATCAATTTAACTTACTGTTGCATTGGGAAATGATATTCCTAATAGGTTTTGGTATGGTAGAGATGTTTCCTATGAACACCTACGAGTGTTTGTTTGCAAATATTTTATGCATTTTCCCAAAGATGAGAGGTCTAAGTTAGATCCCAAGACTATGCAGTATATTTTTATTGGTTATGAGCAAGATGAGTTTGATTACAGTTGCTATGACACAATTCAAAAGAAAGTTGTCAGAAGTCGTGATATAATTTTTTTAGAAGATCAGACTATTGAAGATATTAACAAGGTGGAGAAATCTAAGTCTCAGATTGGTGGTTTGATTGACTTAAACCCATCTCCTACAACTCATATGCCTAATGTAGTTGAGGTTTA